ATCGCCTGAAAGTGGCGCGGAAGCCGGCTACTGTAGGTTGATAATGTGTTGTTGTCATCCACTCGCCAATGACATCTTTCCGCGACCAGACCCTAACGCAGGGCCTCATTTCTCTGAATTCGTAGGACCGACTTAAGGCTGGAGAGTATTTGGCAGTAGATCTCGGGAATTGGCGCTCGATAATGAACTGCCGAAAACAAATGCATGCCAAAAAACGGTCGAAGGAAAACGCAGTCGCGAAAAAAAGGTGTAGACTACTGCGTCCGTCTGAACAACGTCTAGTGGCGAGTAAATCACCATTATAGATGCACTTGGTCAATGGAACCGAAACGTCGGCAATATATTCGTAGCCAGCCATAGTGCAAGAACACAATCGATAGACGCATTTATCGATGGCCATATTATACAAACGGATAAGGTCGAAACAGGTACCATTGGAATGTGCAAGACTCGAAGATCTAACGAACTTTTTGCGCCACTGAACAACGGTGACCACGTGTTGGTGGGAAAGAACTTCGAGAACTGATTTCATTTTTCATTTTTGATTTCATTTTTCGTCCCAGAAAGCATATCAGTGATGAGACGTTCAACCATTCGAGAGTCAGACATTAACGATGAGGCATTCAGCGACAGGTAAGCCATTCAACTAGAAGACATTCGGCCATACAGATATTCTGTACCGGGAGAGATAAGGTAAGCGTTGTGGAAACTCGAAGTTGGTTCAAGTAGCAAATAGCGATTTTGCGAGCACAACGCCAAAAGTAGTGTTATGAACACCGCATTCGGCAAGTCGCTTGCATTGCGTTTAAACAGTAATACTGAGGTGTAAAGCCCACTTCTTAAAACTCTTCGAACACGACAAAGTCCGTGTTTTACCCTTTGGTTTACCCGACTTGTTCGCCATTGCTCCATAAGCTTTCTTTTACCTTTGGTGCTCTTGAAGTCACCCGTATTTGCTGCAGGTTGTTTAGCGTACTTATTCGTGTGAATATAGGGCCGCAATTCATTTCCGTCAGATAAAAGCAGCCTACTAAGAAGACAATCTATTCTCCCAATCAAACCACCCTTAACCTTTATCTTTTGGTTTTTCGTTTGGTTGCTTCTCCTTCACGTTCTAAATATAGTATATTTTAAGTCGATTTGCATGATGAATTTTGTGCTTGAAACTTGCCTCCGTTCCGTCACTTTACATGAAAAAATAAACACTGTATATGCAGCAAAAACAGTTTATTTTAAAAAAGAAATATACCAAAAGAAGGACAGCCAAATTGTTTTAAAGAGCACTCGCTTAACGCAACCACGCAGAGAATTTTCATCAGTACAGACTGAATTTGATAACAAAATCAGTGGAAATAAATCACTGAATGAAAATTAATAAAATTTATCCACTGCGGCGGCAGGCACTGATTTTGACATGAGAAACACGCTCTGGCAATTAAAATTACAAAAAATGTTATTAGACGGTACTGAGCTGGTTTAGGCGGAACAGAACGTTTACTA